GCTATCACATCGTGTACCACCGGTGGTACACATGGCACGGAACGTGTTAAACAACACTTTCAATCTACATTGTCTCGGAGAAAGTTAAACAAAAAGAAAAAAGTTCTACGACAAGTTAGAAATATTTGGTGTCTTGATGTTTTATCAAGAATGTCCTCTATCGAAATAATATTATCTCGCACGAAATCTTCGTCCAGGACTAACGATTCTGGAATATCTGAGCAAACACGTGTTCGTCACCTCGGGGAGGAAGTTGATTTTCGGAAGAGTGTTCAACAAGTTTCAAGAGGACACGATCGACAATGCCCGATTCATTTCGCCGAACAATATTTTCGAGGCTCTTCAGGACATGATCGGGAAACCAATAACTCAAGACCAAGAGACGTATCTGAATAACATGATCGGCGAGATTAAAGGATCGTTGAATTTCAGAACTTGGTGCGGTTTGTGTGCCGCAGTCGAACGACTGCTGTGCCCGCTTCCTTCGAAGGAAGTCGATGCAGCTACGTGGCTCGAAAGGGTGGATTTCGAGAGCTTAGAGCGAAGACTTAAGGCCGGTAACGTGGATCCGCAGCTGGCTCAGTTTTTAAGAGAAATTCGCGAAAAATAATTCGCGAGAATATCGCGATTCTCTCGCGAAATTTCAAAAATGTAAAAATATCGGATCACGTTCTTCTCTCTAATTTCTCTAGCTTGAGAAGAAATTTCAGTAGCATTAGCACGGCAAACTGTCTCATTCAAAGGATAAAGGAAATACCGAGACTTCAATTATTTGATACATTTTTGTATTTTTAAACTAAACGTTAGCTTTAATCTATGAGGTAGTAAAATATTATTATTAACTATTATATGTGAATATGAATAGATTTTATACATGATTATGGAGATTTCCTTCTATTTTATATTGTTTATAAATTAAATTGCCATCGATCCTGTATAACAATGGTCATGTAACAATTGTTAATCGATTGAATAAATATTCACGTTCAAAGTGAAACTTTGAATTCTTACAAACAATTTTGATGGGAATTTCTTTAAAGGAAATTGAATTGAATTATGTATCAAAAATGTTTCGATTTGTTCAACAGAACTTCCAAATCTTTATACATGCATTTTATAAATTATAAATTACGATTATAAATCAGAAGAGATATAGAAAAAAAAAAGTTGACGGTTTAAATCGGAAGAAAGTTTGGAAATTAGTTCTCCCAATTACGATTTTCTACAAATAAACATTCGGTCGATTTACGGACCTTCAAATGTTAGCGCCGCGTAGCGGCGAAACGGTAGAACTAGTCGCTATTTTTGTCTTTGTCACAGTCTGTTGCTCTCTCTGTCTGTCACGCGACACAAATCGGCCCCTATTGCACACTATTGCATTGCTCGTCTACGAATATGGAAGTATACTCCATCAAATAAATATACTACGAGATTCAACAAGAAACTAAGACAATAACTATTTATTAATATTAATGTCTAACAAGATTTTGTAACGTTCGTTTGCTTTGATTGATTATTATTATTAACAACTGAGAATACGAATATTTTCTGCCATCTTATTTTCTTCTTTCTTCATTTTAAATCGGCATCACCGCTGTTAAACTCGCTTTTTTTTAAATACTCGCGCCGCCACACGAATAGGCGAAGTGCTGCCATCTATCGGATTTTTCATTTTTATCCTTTTAGTTTCAGTCAGAGCTGAGAGATGTTCAGATGGCGCCACTCTCCACAAATTACTAACGCCACGTAGCGGTGAGAAGGTAGAACTAATTGAGTGACAGACAGAGAAAGCAATAGACAGCGACAGAGACAAAAATAATGATTAGTTCCACCGTTTCGCCGCTACGCGACGCTAGAGTTTCACGACCTGTGGCAGCGCGAGTATTTAAAACAAGCGAGTTCAACAGTGGCGACGCTGATTTTAAAATGAAGAATGAAGAAAATAAGAAAGGGGAAAATATTTTGTATTCTCAGTTGTTAATAATCAATCAGAGTAAACGGTCGTTGTAAAATCTTGTTGGACATTAATACTAATAAATAGTTATTGTTATAGTTTCTTGTTAAATCTCTTATATTTATTTAAAGGAGTAAACCTTCGTAGGTCTATAAATTTTTATTTGGAAAAGGACAAAACACTAATTAAGAGAATTAATTCACGAATTTAATTGTTTCTAATTGTTCTAAAGCCCAAGTAGCCTTTCTTCGCGCATGACTTTTGATCGCGAAAATCGCATGCATAAAAATTTACGAATTCTGCTGTATGGATTGAAACATTTTCGTTTGTAATAATATTTAATTTCTCGTGGATTGCATTTCGAATACTTCTGTCGAATTCGAGTCTGAATATGATTGTAATAGAAAACTCTATCGTTTCAATTCCATCTGACAAACGATAACACTTCGTCCGTTGTCGGGCAAAAGTGTGGTTGAAACAAAGTGGAAAAAAAATTGACGCTTGAAAATAAAATACGACACAATCACTAGGAAATGTTTTCTTAGTTTTTTTTAAGAAATCTACATTCAAATTTACAAAGTAATCGAAGGAACTTGTAGCAAAGTAATGTACAATCGTTCACGCACAGTACAGCACAGACGTGAATTTACATTCATTCTCGTCTAAACACGAATTTTATATACATTGCAATGACGAATGACGATATAAAATAACGCTTTTGACATTTAACATAATACATTTCTACTTAAATGTAGAAATGGAGATACGATTGTTAAAGAAACCGTATCAATTTGCCCCCAATTTGTTCCAACGGGGGGGGGGGGCGGAGATACACAAATTTACAGTTTCGATGACCACTGTCGCTCCTGATGACAAACAGACAGCGAGAAGAAATTGGAGAATCCGATTGAACAAATACTGAACGAGATGATGACTGAAAAATGTTCTCTTCATTGCGTCACCGGCCGGTTAATAAACCAATTAACGCTTGTTTCTCCTTTTCCTTCTTCCGTACTGTCTCTAAATTCCGTTGTTTCCACGAACTCTTCCGCAGCTTTATGGGACGTGAGCCCACGTAACGTCCTGAAAGAAAACAATTTCATTAGATTGAGGTTCCCCTCACGGGGAAAGTGAGGTATAGTGACCTCTTGCTTTCCTTTCCCTTCCCCTAACGTTTTCTATTTCCTTTTAATCGAATAAATATATCCAAATGATCCCGATGACGAGATCTAGAGATCGTCGATCGTTCTATCGTCTAATGATAATTAACACTAAACGCCCGAATGACTTAAAATGA